ATGCACAGCTCGATCAAGGTTCTCTCCCTAGTGAGATAATGCAAGGACAAGGTCCTCTATCTTCATTGTTACCTGAAGATATAGTAATTGAAATCTTCTTCCTGTTGCACTTTCCTGTAGAATCCATAATGGATTTCAAATCCCTAAACACCGCATGGAAAGAACTCCTACTTTCTTCTTTATTTGCAATAATCCATCAACTTTCTCTAACTGATGATTTCCAAATTTTCGTACAAAGCTACTCTATGTTTAAGATAAACAATCTAGAAGGTATAGAATGCTCTCGAGGCATGTTGTGCTGCTTGTGCCGAACGAATGACTTAGACTACACATACTTAGACTTCACATTCATCATAATGAATCCGGTCATTGGCATATGCACAACGATCTCTGAATCCTTGTCTAATGTCAATATGTTTGGGGTTTTATTTCTATCCAAATTCGTGTGATTTCAAGATTTTGGTTGAGAAATCAAAGGGTGAGATAGGCAAATATTAGATTTTGACTAGTTGGACAGTCATAGAAAATACCTGGAGGTCGAGCTTCGGAAAAACCCCAGTCTTCAAATGCTATCTCTCAATTCAAAGTACTGTCATAGAAGAACATAATTTGATGGTTTCTTACATGGAGAATGAGTGTTGATCTCTCTTTTCCAAACTTATTTGAGGGTTTTTGATATGGAGAATGAGTATTGGTCTCTCATTTCCAACTTACCCATGCAGATGCATTTGTTTACTTATAGCGTAGGGACCGTGCTTTATAGGGTGGGGACAATGCTTGTATTACTGGAATAACCAATTATAAGAGATTGAGGGTTTGGATTTTGAAGGGAGATAGGGAAAGAGATGAACTAATAATTTTGGATGATCATAAAGTGCCTTATTCGTGCTTGGTGTTCTAGCTATTCATTCAAAATACAGTGAATTGTGAGTCATTCACATATGATATAGAGCGAAGATTATTGGATCAGTTGAAGGATTTGACTACTATCTGGGTAACTACTATTCTCTGCTCCATTTTCGAATCTTTTGCCATGAGTTTAAGATTATGAGTATGTAAAAGATTGCCCAAGGGTGGTCAGTTTTGTGCTTAAGAATTCTCTAAGGGAGAAATTTTTTGTTTTATTACATCGATAATAATTTTTGTTCTTCATTTTTCTACAATGTAACGTAGTACAATTTGTAGTTAATGTGATTGGTTTTCTACATGGGCAATAATACGTTTTTGGATGATTGTATATATATAAAAGCAAGAATTTCCACGTGAGTTTGCCAAATTTTTGATACGTTGAATCCCATTTGTGTTAATTTCGGGCAAGCTTTCTATGCTTGTCCTACATCGTACAAGTTCTATCCTCCCCCTTATCCAACCGTCCATTCTAATGGAGGGTTAAGATGGCCCCAATCACAATGTCACGTCTTTACACTATTTTATTTTTAATTCTTTGTCTATAAACTATTTTGACACCAAATTTTAGTCATCCATTCCTCTATTAAACTTGCACTAGTGTAAAATATAAAAAAAAAATATTTTCAATGAAATAAAATGATCAAAATACCCCTGAAAGCCTCAAGGGGTATTTTAGTCATTATATTTTATCGAAAAAATATTTTAATATTTTTTTAAAGGTGCGCCCTAATGAGAAGATGACAAATACCAAATTTCATATTCATACAATTTGTATAAAAAAAACTAAAAATAAAATACTTTAAGACGTCAGATCTAAGATCAAACGGTAAGTGGCTCTCTTGATCAAAATTCGACGACTGGATGGCTTTTTAATGTTGGACAAGATCCCCAGTTATATTTTACATGAACCGTTCACTCAGTGCATGGATTTTTAATGTTGGGCAAGGTTTGTACAAGATTGCCTCCTTTTACTATAGAAGTAAGGTGCATATGTCATTCTGGTGTTATAACCTTTATAACACCAATTATAAAATGAACAAAATACCCCTGAAATTAAAAGTAAGGTGCATATGTCTTCAGCACTAGTTATAAAATGTAAAATTTCAAAAGTGGTACAAATCGAGTAAATCAATAAACACATGAAAATTTTGAAATTAAACGGTCAAGATAATTTGTTACAAGATGTACTATTTTTTTGATGTGAAATTCTTGTTTTTCTTCATGTCCATACATCTCAAGATCAAGATGATCAATTGGACTGTTCTTCAATGCCGGATCACTCTCTTCTAATTACAGAAGCCGCCATTTTGGAATAACCAACACAACGAGCTAAGAGCCAAAAAGTTGAAATTCTTCCTTTCTTTCACTAGCTAAAGCCAAAAGTTATTCTACTCCTTAGGGAGTAGAATGTCCATTTACTCCCTGGAGTTAAAACTCCACTTGGAATTAATTTTAGAACCTTTGGGGATGTTACCTCTTCTATCTATAGATTAACTTTAATAATAAAAAAGGTGAGGTTTGTATAAGGCTGAGGTTCTAAACAATCAAAGTAAGACACACCTTCAAGTAGTGTCGAAAGGTGTTGTTTCAGTGCTAAACATCTTTGTGATGGTCTGAATATTTATTTTCATCTCTAATTATAAAATTTAAAGTTTCAAAAAAAGTGTAGATCAAGTCAATCTAAGAGTGAAAATCTTAAAAATTGACAGACCATAAAATGTATTACGAGATACACTATTTCCGAGACCGGAAGTCTATTTTTTCTCATTTCCATACATCTTTAGGTCAAGATGATTGACTTGAGGATTTTCATGCATCAAAACAACCTCTAGTAAATTTTCAAAGTGTGCCTTAATTTGATTGTTGAGGGCCTCACCCTTATATAAACGTTTTCCTAAAACAAATTTACTAATTGTACACTCCAATTTTTAGATGGTGAGATTTAAGTGTTAGGAAACTAAAATTTCAATTTCTTTTTATTTTTATAATAGTCATCCAGTAATTCTTAAAGGCTTCGTTTGGGTACTTGGAGAAGCTTGTCCAAGGAATAGGGTTCTCCTGGAATTGGGTTATCTTGGAATTGGTATGTCTTAAGATAACACCTGATAAGAAACATGGAATATGCATGTCCAATGTTCGGATTGCATGGAAGATGTGAATCCGTGGATATTCAGTTGTAGTTTTTATATTATTACCATACATTTAATTTTATACAGATTAACTTCTCTTATTGATTCCAAACTTCAGTATTATGTCTTAGCTAAGATGAAATCCTTAATTTTTTTTTATTTATTTCCATTTTGTACTTATGTATAGATATCTTACATTTCAAGGATTGTATTAGGGTACCTTTGGTTCATGCGTAAAATAGTAAAATATTCCCTGAAAAATATTTACATATGTAAATCGTATTTCATATGTTTGGTTTGTGCAAATGCATATGGCAATAAAATACTATGGTAATAACTTTTACCATGAAATGCTCTAATTCATGGTAAAATAAAGCCATACAAAAAGATTCAAATACCTTACTAAGAAAAAACTTTTACCATTTAAAATTGAGAAAAGCCACCAAAGTATAAGTAAATCATTCTCCTGAGGGAGCATAATATATGTGCTGACAGAAAGAAAAAAAAAGAAGGAAGATTCAAATATGTGACAAGCTACAATGTGAGTTTCTCGTATTAATGATGTGAGTTTCGCTGATTAAACAAAAGAGAAGAGAGTTCCAAAGCCCCCTCCAAAGCAACAAAGTAGGCAATACTATTAGGGAAGGATTTCTATGTGACTCCGCCCACTCCGCCCACATATATAGTATATGTGACCCCTACAGTCTCAACTATCATGTCTAAGTAGATGGCTAAGATGGTTTGAGTCACAATGTAACAAATTGGCTTTTAACCATTAGATCTTGATCGGATGGCTCATACATTTTTTTTTTATTATTCTATAAATCATTTTAAAGCAAAGTTTGGGATATGCATAGATCTGACAGTGGTGCACAAAATAAAAGTAATTGGACGGTATTTTGGTGATGAACAATTATCATAATGCCCCTAGAAAGTATAAGGGAATTTTGGTCATTTATTTTTATAAAAATATATATTTTTTATTTTTCCCAAGTTCGCCCTAATTTTATGACGGGATGCACAAAATTTCATCCAAAAATATTTTGTATAAAAAATGAAAAATAAAACAGCAATTGGCGTGACTTCAGGGTACGCAACTGGGGTCACATATAACTTAGTTGTTGTTGGGGTCACATAAAAACATTTCTCATTAACTTACAGGTCCAATTAGCCATTATGAGTCCAATTTGAGGTTATTGTTAAAGAGCTTTTAGGAGTTGAGAAAGTATACAATGAGACCATTTACTTTTGGTACAAAGTGATTACAATTAATCTTTGATCATTAGATGTGAAATTGGTGGCTCCATTTATTCCATTGACCTTTCACATCAGATGGTGTAACTATGACCACCATTTACTAAATATAATCTCATTTTATACAAGGGTAAGCTTTTTATGCTATCCCTTTCAGCATAAAACTTACATACTTCCCCTTATCCAATCCTCCATTTTGAATGGAGGGCTAAGATTGTCCCGATCACAATCTCACGTCTCTATACTATTTTATTTTTAATTTTTTTCTACAAACTATTTTGACACCAAATTTTGGACCTCAATCCTCTAATAAACTCGCACTAGCTAAAAATATAAAAAAAATATTTCCAATAAAATAAAATTACCAAAATACTTTTGAAATTTCAAAAGGATTTTGGTCATTTATTTTATTAAAAAAATATTTTTAATACTTTTTATATGTGCATCTCAAGGAAAAATGACACTTACTAAATTTCATATTCATAAAATTTGTATAAAAAAATTCAAAATAAAATACATGTCGAATCTAAAATCAAATGATAAATGACCCTCCTTATCAAAATTGTACGACTCGACTCGATGGATAGTTGGACGACTCGACTCGATGGATAGTTGGGAAGCATACTTGTAGGGGAAGCATACTTGTAGAGGAAGTATATAAACCTCCCCCTTTATACAATCCCTCAGGAATTTATGTGCACAAGTTGCATCCTACTCACCTTCCTCGATGTGTGTCATTTTCAAAACTCCAAAACCTCTCTCTTGCCTGGTGGGGCACCGAGGGGACGTGGGGCGTTCTCTGCCCTCTCCAATTTGCAGACAAAGATTGGACCTCTCATAATTCTCGGTTGTTGCGTTTGTCCCTTCTCTCTATCTCTCTTCGCAGGTCGCTCCGCTGTATCTCTTCTTCATCTGCCCGCAAAAGCACTCCAGAGGTCCTCTCGGGAAAAGGAATTTTGGCACGTTGAGAGATAGCACGAGGCATTCCACCTCGGGAAAGGGATGATTGGGGTTGGTCTACTGTGCCCGTTGAGAGAGAGAGAGTCATTTGATAATTGCAGAGAGAGAGAGTCATTTGATAGTTGCAGAACATGGTAGTCATTTGATAATAACACACAAGACAGAGACCTGAGACACTATATAACCCAAGGGAGCGTTGCACAGTTTTAGAGAGAGTGGCAGTTCGAAAGAGGGAGGCTTGGGTTGCAAGCAATCTTTTTCTTAACTAACTGTATAGAGAGAGAGGCATGGAGCGTTATGAGTTGATGATGGATATTGGGTCGGGAAACTTTGGAGTAGCCAGACTTGTCAGAGATAAGAAGACCGACGAGCTGTTCGCCGTCAAGTACATAGACAGAGGCCATAAGGTCTCTCTCTCCCTCTCTCTCCTCNNNCTCTCTCTCTCTCTCTCTCTCTCTCTCTCTCTTCTCTCTTACTTACGTTACGTTCGTTACGTTACGTTACGTTACGTTACGTTACGTTACGTTA